CATGCTCTATCGAAATATATATAAACTGAGATGCAACCTGATTTTGAAGTACACAAAAAAATTTAAATTTTCTGAATCTGTGTCCATCCCATTAAGTATGTGACCATATGAAGTTTGTTCTCCCATTTTTTAACACATAGCAGTGAAGATATGATTTGGATATCTTTCAATTCAGTTTTTCATCGTCTATCTAGCAATGGCCAAATGAGTCTTATCTAGTGTTTTAGTCAAGAGAAAAAATTAAATTACTAGTTCGATGAGCAAGATAATGATAGCGGAAAAAAATTTTTTTCGATAAAGCATGAAATTCTCTACAAGATGGCCGATTCATTTTTACGATTTGTTTTGGCCCCGATTCTTATTATGTATCAGAAGTAAGTAGGTTCAGCCTCTTAAGTTTAGGCATGGTATCAGTTTTGCCGGGAGTCCCTAGACTAGTATTAAGTGACCTCAGATAACCTCTAAAGTAAATGGAAACGTAGCATAGTGAATCTTGTGGCAACGTTTTTTCCCAGGAAAAGATGGGTAAACCTAGTGAAACCGAGTTTTGAGGAAAATCCACCAATTCAGCTCTAACTATTTAAAAGTAAAATACTCTAGTCTCCCTTAAAACCCATCCAAACCACTTGGAACTCGATCTTGGACGACCGAGTTACAGGTTTTTTCACATTACGAATATAAATTCGTTCGCTTTAATGCCGTTTTCGAGCTGTATCGTATTTTCTATGGCACTTTCTGACACAAGATCGCAGAAACTTCGCCAGCATCTCATTTTGTGAAGAATTGAATAGGCAATCCAACGATATGGTGGAAAAATTCTGAAAGAAATTTTAAGATTACCAGGTTTTCTATAAAACCGTTTTTTTCAGAAATCTCTATGTCAAGACCCCAAGGTGCAGCATACCTTTTTTTCATCGAAATATATTGAACTGGACGCGCTCTTTCATTTAATATCAAGTTCAAGGTTCTACGTTAGGTAATATGGTACGCAGACTTTCTACAAGACCAAAGCCGCCAGAAAATGCATCTTTCCGCTGCGAGGGTAAAATGGCTATAACGTTTTTTCTAACAAGGCTAGAGACTTGCGGTTTGCACCATTCGGTTCAGCTTGCTGAGCTCTATAATATGAGATATGTCTCGTCACTGACGTCAAAGGCCGATGTAAATGGTGGAAGGTTGTATATGGATTGAGCCTATCCGTCGATGCCCAAATTTCCCTAAAAATTCAATATCTCGCGTTCCTCTTGGGAGTCCAAAGTCTTTCTTTTGCCGTTTTGTCACCCCATTCTTCTAGTATCTACCCTAAAAGCCTGAGCCTTACTGAGCTGGTTAGGCACGAGATAATGAATGGTGAAGTAGTAGCGGTAGTGCCACCTATAACTTGACAATAAAACGACCTCTAGCGGACTCGCACTGTTTTCTAGCCTGATCCAAGTTGTATTTGTGCTGAAATTTTTGTCTCTAAGCCAAGCCGTTAGAAAATAGCACACTCAGGATTAAACGTTTAATTGATCCTAACTCACCACCAAAAACATGGCAATTTTTCTTAAAACTTGAATATCCCAGTAACTACTTGGGTTGTAGAGCTGCGATTTGCGGCAAAAAGCTTACTATTGATTGTGCTTTTGACCTATGTAATTGAAATCAAGTTTGGAGAAAGTCGATTGAGCAAGGTTGGTCGTGGCTTATCTGCGATGGCTCTTAAGACTAAAAAGAACTACAAGGCTTTTATTTATTTCTTGGACGTAAAAATCTTTTAATTGCCTACCGTTAAACCAACTAAGGAAAACAGTAACAGCAGACTAGGTACCTTTGAGCCTGGAGAACAAGATACACAACCCAAATTTGCCTTTTTGTAAAATTTATTTTTAACTACTTTCGCCTCCTAAACGGTACAATGTATGAGGATGTCTAAATTCCTCATCAACATCAGCAAGAAGAACTAAGGTGAACTTCTTTATTCTAGATATGGTCAGAACAAAACAAAAACCAAACTGAAAAACAAAAAATAGTAGACAAGACATTATCGATAGAAGTAACAGGAAAAAACACCACAAAAACGAAAAAGGAAAGACACTTTCAGAGAACATGTCAAGAGAAGACAAAGAAAAGATATTGAACCACTATCAGTTCCAAAATACAAGAGTAGTGGCCGTTCTTTGAATAACTATTGAACGAAAGTAGATGAAGACTCACGGTTTTCGCTATTCGATAGCCAAGACTTAAGAGCATGTTTTCGTAAGCAGAAAAATATTTAGAATTTTTTTCAAAAACCAGTTTTGCAGAGATCTGCTTGAAAATCGGTTTTTGGAAAAACAGTTCTAAATACTTTTTGTTTACGAAAACATGCTCTTAAGTCTTGGCTATCGAATAGCGAAAACCGTGAGTCTTCATCTACTTTCGTTCAACAGTTATTCAAAGAACGGCCACTGCTCTTGTATTTTGGAACCGATAGTAGATAAGCTCGGATTTCCCCCATCTTCTATCTTACATATACTCTATAGATTTTTTATTTCTAATAAATAATCATAAAATTCTTTTGGTTTAACTATTTCATTATCATCATAAAGAAATTTTAAAATTTTAATTTTCTTAAATACTTGAAATAAATCAATATCATGAAAATTATTGGTTATTTCTAACAGATATTGATAATCTGGTAATTTTAATTGTTTAAGATTTGGCATTAATAATATTACATATTTACATAATAAATTATTTTTTATATAATTTATATTCAATATTTCAATACGCTCACATGTTTCTTCTATAGATCTATTATTATTTAAATCAAAATTATCTAACGAAAACACAAGATGAAATGTTATTTCATTAATATTAATAAAGAAATTTTTAATATAGCGAAATATATTTGATGAATATGGTGAGAAATCAGCATCAAAATAAATATGTTTTACATTTTTCCAAGTTTCAACTAAATTATTATTATTATTACTATTATTACTTTTATATTGTAGAAAATCTGATGTTAGTCGCAACATTTCAAACTGATATGGTAATGAAAATAAATAAAATCTTAACGACTCTAAAACTTTTATTTTATGTAAAACAATTGAAAATGAATCCCATGTTGATAAAATATTATTTGTGGAGTTAACAATATCACTATTATTATCCACCGTTAAGCAAATATGAAATTTAAAATCATTAATTAAGATTCTTTGTTTTATATAATGACCATTTAATAGATCAATATCATTGTTGTTAATACCTATTATATATAACGTTAATTCTTTTAAATTTACAAAGGAATGTATTAATGGAATTAATTCAGCTGTATATCGATATGATGAACAATTATTCTTTTTTATAATTGATTTACAGCATCCAGATGTCGTATACGTAAATTTAGATAAATTAAAACATGAGTGTTTTATTTGCTTATAATTAATTCCTAAAACACAAACAAAACATCTTGAAAAGTAAACTCAGGTCATATTTTAAAATAATCCAAAATTCTACCAAGAAATTCTATGTGGAAATCGAATACTGTAAAACCTCTCTAAAGTGATCATTCTTACGCACCGGAAAACCTCTCCGAAAAATGCCTACATTTTTTCTACGTTTCAGTTTGAAGCTCTGAAACACTTTTTTTCTGATTCGGCATCAAAAATGGAATTACAAAATGTATTTTACTAGCTCGTAGCCTAGAACCTAGCCTGACAGAAGACTCACCTCACTTCAAAAAGCTATCTCGTTTTTGCGAGAAGATGCAACCCTGTGACATATGCCATTCGAACCGCCCTGATTCATACAACAAAACTATAACTCCAGATTTTTGAAATTCCTCTGCATTGCTGAGAAATTTCACCTTTTCGAAATTTGTCTAGTCTGATGTTCTCTTGCTCTTTCTTCTTCTGTCTATCATGAAACGTGCACGTTCATTTTTCTCCATCAAATACTTCTGCATTAGCCACTCTTTCTTTATAAGAAGAAGTATTTTTTGTGATTTATATCATGCCAACGTCACCGTACTTGTTTCGACAACCAGCGACTACACAACTAGTCATAATATAAATCACAAAAAATACTTCTTTCTTCTTATAAAGAAAG